CTGGATCTCAGAGTCTTCTTCATGATACAGGATTTGGAACCTGCAGATTGTTCTTTGGACTCAAAATGGGTACCCAGTATCATCAGACTACAGAAATTACTTGAAGGGCCCTTGCTCAGCATGGGGAGATGGTGCTTTGCTACATCTGTACTCTAATGCTCAGCCAGACCCCTTCTCCCTGACCACCTTCTCTTTACAGCGCCGGGAGGTGGCCAAGACAGTGTTCTGCCTTGTGGTGATCTTTGCACTCTGCTGGCTTCCACTCCACCTTAGCCGCATCCTCAAGAAGACCATCTATGACCAGATGGACCCCAACAGATGTGAACTGCTCAGGTAAGGACAGCAGCAAGAGGGCACTGGGCTGGTAGTCCTGATGGGCACTGGTGGAGGCTCTGTGGGCTCTCATGGGAGCCTGGTGGGGTTGCCTTCCAAACACTTTGTTTCAGTAGCTCCTATTCTAGATGGCATTGCTCTCCCAGGCAGAAGCAAAGGGCGTGGGGGTCCATTATAAGAGGAGAAATTAAAATTTGAAATGTTTCTATAAAGCTATGGGTTAAAGAGGGCTCCTGGGCAGAGAAACATTCCCTGAAGGGCTACAGGGGATGCAGCACATCTGAGGACTGTGCACGCTTTCTGACACATGGTAGGTGCCCATCTTCCCCTCTCCTCTGTACCCATCACACCAAAATCCAGTTCAGACTAGACATGGCTACTTGAGCCTGCTTGAGTTTGAGAATGTCAAAGTCACCAGGGGAAATCAGATCTCATGCTTTTGGTTTCCTTAGGAAATGCGCCTCGCAAGAAAAAGCGTGGGGCAGTTGCCCATTTGTGGGAGGGACTGTTTTGTGCTGAGCTCTGTGTTATCAGTCACCAGCCCTCCATAGAAGCAGGCCCCTGGGCCAGGCAATGTGCAGGAAGTTTGGAAACCCTGCCTCAGTTCTCTGCTCTGTGAGCTTCCAACATGCCTACCCTCCTGTCTTCCCTCTGGCCTCAGTTTCCTCCTTGTGATGGATTACTTTGGGATCAATATGGCCTCCCTCAACTCCTGCATCAACCCTGTGGCTCTCTACTTTGTCAGCCGGAAATTCAAGAACTGCTTCCAGGTAGGATTGATCCCTCCAGAGCTCCTGGCTACAGTGACTGTTCACAGACACTGGCATAAACTCCCATGGACTAGACACAGCACAGACAGAGGCACCCCCACTGCAGCGGACTTCTGTGCTCCTGAGATAAGTGGAAAGGAGCTGCCACCAGCCCACAGGGCTCTCCCATTTGCTCATGTTCTGATCATATTTCTCCCAGTTTTTGCCCTTGCTAGGTGCCTCTCCTTGAAGCTTCCAGTATGCCAGAGCTCGCTGCCCTCTGATGGGGATGCTTTTGCCAGTGCAGGACAAGCAAAAGAAAAAATCCCTCTCATTCTGAATCAGAAACATCCCCACAAACCATTAGACTAGAGACAAGGGGTGCTTTAAACGTTGATCCCAAGTTATTCAGAGATCATATTCAGGAGTAGTGGAGCCCTGAGAAAGGAAGGGGATGAGATGAGAAGGGATAGAAACAGATGGGAAGGGAATCACTTCCTAGATGCTGTGTCAAAAAGAGCTGAGCCCAGCTAAGCATTATCTGTATTTTCTGTCCCCCAAGGATAAGAAAACACAATTGCAAAAAGTACCCAAGATTTTGGTGTCTTTGTTTCCAATCCTCACCAGCCCTATCATGGAAAACCTGCTCCCAGCAGATCTGCAGGATGGCAAAGTTCAGAAGTGCAGGCTGCGATCCCCAGCCTGGCACTGTGCAGGTTGATTTGCCAACATCGGTAAGGGAATATTTCCTCCTGTTTTACCCTGTAGCCCACACCTGAAATCTCTCCCCACTTTTGTTTCCTCGCAGTCCTGCCTGTGCTGCTGGTGCCAGAGATCCACTCTGAGCATTACACCGACAGATGACAAGGGCTCTGTTGGGAAGTGGAAAGCCAACGGGCAGGAGCTTGGGGTGGACCGGAGCAGCTCCCGCTTGAGTAACAAGTACAGCTCTTCCTAAAGCCATGCCTCTGGCAGGGCCAAGAGGAGAAGGCTCTGTGCCAGAATGGCAGGACTCCTCCATTACTCTTGCATGGCTATTTCCTGGCTGGGCCTGAACAATTTTTGTCTTCATGTGATAACCCACCTGGAAGGAGCTGCAGCATTTCACTAGACCCCTGGGACTAGCTCTGAACACAGGCTCTGTACCATTCCGATCCATCCCCTGGTCTGAGCCACTTCTGGAGGAGAGGGAAGAGGATGCAGATCCTCACATGATTTTTCATTTCCTTGCAGGAAAAGCAAATGACTTATGGCCATTTGTCTTGGTTGGAAATGTGGGGTCAGGAGATGTGTTAGAAAAGGAAAAGAAGGTTGAGATGTGGTCACATTGAGATGAGTGTGGGATGAGGAGGAGGGGGAGAGGACCATGAGTGACAATTTCCAGCTGAAAAAGCCAAAGAAAAGGTTTGGTAACATTCCTTATCATCTCCCTCTGTGATTGGGACAGTTTGTCCCTGCACAGAGCCAGGATAAGATCCTGGCCACGTGTATGTCTGGTAGACGCACTGACTGTGTGGAATCTCCTCCCGTTCATGGTAGGGAGAGATGGGCAGTAACTTTGCTTCATTGTTTGTCAACTGCTTCAGTGACAAACCTGACTCAAGGAGCCCTGTAAGTCCTCCCCAATTCAATTCTTCCCCAGGCTCCCCGCCCAAGGATGGTGCTCACCCCACCTGTGTATGGCACAAGAAAGGGACTGTATGGAACCACATGGCTTAGAGGAGCAGATACCCTTGGTGGAAGCTAGTGGCTGTCAGCTCCATCTTCTCCCTCCCGAGGGCAGGTGAGCTCCTGCTAGCTGGGCACAGTTGCTGGCCAGAGGGGCTGTCCTTCAGGGAACAGTGTGTAAGCCTGGGAAAGAGAAGGCTTAAATGTGAATGAGGCTTGCAGCCATGGAACCAGGCCTCACCTTTTCTGCCCTCTGCTGAACCTGGCAGCAGCTAATTCTCTGCCTGCCGCAGGATGCAAGGGAGAGGATCCAGGAGCTGGGCCCTTCCAGAAAAGCATCCAGCCTTCAGTTGCTGCTGTCTTCGGCAGCTGGAAACTCCACTGACTCCTTCAGCCACTGGCTCTGGGGAGGGGGACTGCCTGAAAGAGCACAGCTCTGAAGGGAAAGAAGGGGCATTTTGCTGCTGCCAACGAGGCCAAGCTCCAAAGGGCAGCAGAGCTTGACCCTGATGTCTCTTGGCCACAGCACCATGACACCAGGTTCATCCATCTGTAAGGGTGACACTGCTGCTCATCCTCATAGTCAAACTGCGGTGGAAAAGCCAACAGAGGAGGTCCAATCTCGGCTAAAAGAGCTGGTAGAGCTAACCAAAATATGGCAAAGAGTGTTCACAGATTTATTATTTAATTTCCAAGTGCTTTCCCAGTGTGTTTTTCTAAAAAATCATGCTTGCATATCTCGCCAAAACTTTAAAACCTGTATGAGAAAGTTCTACTTACCAAGTTTTTATTACTGTTGTTTTTCCCTTCTCTCTTTTACCTCTCTGTTTCTTCTCCTCATTCCCCTTTTCATGTTGCCTAGGGAAAAAACAAAGAGAGGACAAAGGGGGAGCAGACTTGCAAATAAAGCAAAACATTTTCCAACTGTTGGTTTTTTTTAGCTTTGCTTTCACTGAAATGCAAAGGTTTTACAAACAAATGACATTTCTGAAAGACTAATGTGTTTCAAGGAAAGCAGAATGGCTGACGAGTAGCTAGACCAGTACCTTTCCATAACCCAACCCACCCAAAGGAGCAGATGCGGCTGTGTCCATGCCACAGTGCTGCTGCTATGCTCTGCCCCAGAGCTGGCTGCGTTGTGTTGGAGGACAAACAAAGTTAATGAAGAAAAATGAAGACTGAAAACTCCTGGTGTAGACAATTTAGTAAAAGGATTTTTTTTAAATGATTTTGCTTATAATCTTGCAGGCAATTCCCCTCCTAGCCAGTTTGGACAGTGCTGTGAGAAAACTGCTCTAGTGGAAGGTGTCCCTGCCCATGGCAGGGGGTAAGAATTAGATGAGCCTCCCAAGCCAAACCAGTCTGGGATCTATGAATATATGATTTGCAATTCTTGGTCACTCTCCCATTCTCATAGGTGAGCTGTGCCGAGAGCAGGTCCAATCACAGCAACTCCTGGGTGTGTCTGGTGTGCCTGGCTGTGCCCAGGGTTGGAACTGGATGAGTTTTAAGGTCCCTTCTAAACCTGGTCTCTTCATCTGAAAGGGACAGAGCCTTTACCACTTCTTTGGGCAACTGGATGCAGTGCCTCTACCTTTCAAAGCAGAATCTCCTACTGCTATACACCACCACTGGTTCTTGGCTGCACTAGCAGATTTCCTCTTCATTGGTGCAGGAGCGGATTGTTCCTCTGTTAGTCCCCTGCAGAGCTGTGAAGTGGCTCTGGGTGGGGACATTGGGCTCTGGAGGAAACTGACAAAAAAACTTTTCTTCTAAAAGCTCAGGGTAGACACAGCAGTGAAGCAGCTGTTTATTAATGTCATTGCAAAAATGGGTATCCTGGCAAGTAGGCACACACAGCAAAAGCAGAACAATGAATTATATTTCCTGTGCTGTCCACAAATTCCCTCCCTTGTTTCCCCACTGGTTGGGTACTCCAAGGTTTACAGACTATCCGACGCATATAATCTACATGCCAACTGTCCCACCTCTGGTTACATCTCCCCTTATTCGATTTTGTATGCCCGTTCCTCTCATTTATTTATCTCTTTTTATGGTTCGATTTCATAACTCTCTGGCAGACATGTGGTACCCCGACTTATGTTTAACCAACCCGCACCTGCTTAGTCATGGGTCGTACAAAGATAGTATTCTTTCTAACCACAGAGTGTGTCTCTCATCCAGAGATGATATTGTCTTTAACCACAGAGTGTGTCTTTCTAAGTTACAAAACTTAGAAAAACAAAACCCTCTGTTTTGTTCCCTGAGTAACAGCCGCAGCCCCAGTATTGAAAAATCTTAATATTGGAAAGCCTAAATCTTGCAAAGCCCCATCCCCAGTTATGCGAAAACAACATTGTTTCTCTTACACTCCCTATTATTCCTCTGTATGTTAATAAAATGTGGTGGTGTTTGAAAGGAGACTTTCTTTCTCCTGGGTGTTTCCCATTAAGTAGCAATCTCCCCTCAGACAGGTTAAAGCCATTCCCCCTTGTCCTGTCCGTACATTGCCTTGTAAAAAGCCCCTCTCCAGGTTTCTCAGCCTGTCCCCAGAACCCTCCCAGCATCTCCGTGGCCTCCTCTGGACTCACTCCAGCAGCTCCACGTCCCTCTTGTGGTGTTGCTCCAGAGCTGGATCAGGACTGCAGAGGGGTCTCCCCAGAGCACAGCAGAGGGGGAGAATCCCCTCCCTCAACTGCTGCTCACACTCTGGGGATGCAGCCCAGCACAGAGGGGTTCTGGGCTGCAAGCGAATAACGCTCTGTTTAAAAAGGAAAGCCGGTTTTATCTGTTGAAGTCAACTGCAGTGGTGCCTGCAACAGAAAGATTGAAACTGGGAGAGGGTGCTGCCTCTCTAAAAGCTGGACTTTGCACAGTGCTGAGCTCCTCTGCTCCCTGTGGACGTGGGGCAGACTAGCTCTGTGCACAAGGCTACCTGAAAACTGTGTGATCTCAAAATCCTGGGCAGACAAAAGCAACGACGCTTGGAAAGAGACAGAAATAAGACAGAAGAGTGGAAGAACTGCCTTCTATCATATTTCATACCCTGCTGAGCTGAACACAGTGTCACCTCTGCAACATCAGCCTCCATAATCTTTATTATTAGAGAAAATACAGGTTTGCATCAAAGCAGTCATAAAACACTGTCGTGGTTTAAACTCAGTCAGCCATGCAGTCTCTCTCTCACTCCCCCTCTTTCCCCCCCCCTCCCAGGAGGGATGGGGAGGAGAATGGAAAGAATGTAACTCCCACGGGTTGAAAGAAGAACAGTCCAGTAACTAAGGTATAACACAAACCCACTACTGCTACCACCAATAATAATAATGATAAGGGAAATAAACAAGGGAAGAGAACACAACCACTCACTACCTGCTGACTGATACTCAGCCTGACTGAGCAGTGATCCAACCCTTCTGGGTAACTCCCCCAGTTTATATAGTGGGCATGACATGTTGTAGTATGGAATACCTCTTTGGCTAGTTTGGGTCAAGTGTCCTGTCTCTGCTTCCTCCCGGCTTCCCCTCCTCCCTGGCAGAGCATGAGACTCAGAAAGTCCTTGGTCAGAGTAGACACTACTGAGCAGCAACTAAAAACACTGGTGTTATCAGCATTGTTTCCAGGCTGAAAGTTAAAAACCATAGCACTGCACCAGCTACTAAGAAGGATTAAAAATGACTGCTACTGCTGAACTCAGGACAAACACACAACCAGAAATACTTGGCACAGGGAATTCAACACACAGATGTTACACACATCCATGGAGACTGCCATCCCTAAATGCTACTGTATCTCTTCCTCCCTCTGGGCCCTGTACTCCTTCATGCTCCTCTGCAAGCAAGAGCAAAGAACAAATGTTAACAGCATATACCCGAGTGGCTCATACATCCCATGCCACCACCCTGCTCTGTGCTGTGACTTCTCTGTCCAGCGCAGAGGACCCTGCGCAGCTCCGACAGAGCTCCAGGTACCTTCAGAAGTGACTGAGCTTTACATTCACTCCAAGGAACAGGAAGCCAGGCCATGCTGCAGGTCATGCAGAGAAGGTCTGAGATAACTGTAGGTTCTTTACACCTACAACACAACTGTCAACCCTTTCCTCTCTCCTCTGAGACCAAGAGAGAGAGAAAAGCCCCCTGAACTCTTCAGGAATAGTCTCACCTCAAAGGTGTTGAGCACATGTTAGCAAATGTGTCGTTCAGCCCTTTCTGGAATGGCTCAACAGCAGGAAGGGCCCCTTTGGGAAAGAAGACGGGTCAGTGGTTTCCAAAGGGGTTGGTGGCCCTCTCCCACTGCTTTGGGCAGTGTGGTTGTTCCCCTGTGATGGGAACAGGCACATGCCACACATGGCCCAGGCTGTGGTCCAGGAAGGGCAGAGCCGAATCCTGCAGGTAGCCCCACAGGGAAGGGGTTCCCTTGACAAGAAGAGCCTCAGCACTACTCATTTTTAGGAAATTAAAGTGTCAGCAAGCACAAACTAGATACTCAGGGGAACAGCCCCATAAGGAAGGAATGAACACTGTCCTCCTGCGGCAGCAGACAAAGCTGTGGAGCCTAGATGGAGGGCAGTGGGCTGAGCTGGAGTGAGTGAGTGATGGCCTGAGGCTCAGAGTTGTCAGCGCTGCCTATTAACAGGGAACACAGACCCCTTTGGAAGGCAAGTCAAAAGATAGCACAGACTGATGTGGCTTTTCAAGAGAGTTTTGGTTCACAGTCTGATGACCAAAGCTGCCAGACAAGCAAGGAGAAGCAGAAGCAAATTATCTCATTGCAGCTATGTATGCCAGCACACTTTGCGTTGGCTTTCCAAAACTTCTGCTGATTTAGGGGCAGATGAAGCACCCATCACCTCTGACAGGACATAGCAGATCGACCTTACCCCAGCACTACAGTACCGTGCCTGCACAGAAGAGGGAGAAGAGGGGTTTTCTTTATTGAAATGACTCATGGTGGAAACCTGACATGAGCAGAGGGCTTTCCACAAAAGAAGGGCCCTGAACATTAAAACAATGCACATCCCATACCTCTGGTCTGGATCCTGAAGTTGATCTTGCTTTCAGAGGGGTGCGTGATGCAGTAGCCACAGAACTCCACATCAGGGCTGCAGGAAGGGTGAGAGGAGAAGAGAGCAGTGAAACCCAGGCCAATCCACAGCAAATCTCAGGGAAGTCAGAGGCTTGGGCCACCTCAGACCTGCAGGGGCTCAGGATGTTTCTAACATGACTGAGGGTCTTACGGGAGGGATATGCTGAAAGGACACCACCCGTGTAACCTTATTCACACCCTTCCATCTATCTCTGAGATGCAGCTGGAGCTTTGCAGGGGAAAGACCTGGCTGGCATCCTGCTCAAGCAGAGGATCCTGGGTGCTTGGAAACCTCCCTCCACACAGACCTGTTGCAGTTCTGCTGGGCAGAGGAGGCAGATGGCTCCAGGGCACCACAAGATGTTTGCAGACTGCATGACATCTGCCTTCACAAGCCGAGGTGGTTGGTAGAACATTTGTGCACACAGCAGAAAGCACAGCCCCTCACAAGAAGGCTGCTCTTTTTCTTGTCATGGTGATCTATCAGAGGAATTCACATGACATTTGCAATGCAGCTGTCATTTGAGATGATGCATTGAACTTCCTGCTGGAACTCTTCTAAGCCTTACCAGTGAGTCTCCACAAACCCCCAATGCCTCCCAGCTCGATAAAATCAGAGTGAAGCCATTTGTATATTTTAATGGGGGCAGCAGGATTATTAATTTCCAGCATCAATACCTGCATCTTGATGGAAGCATTAAAGATGATCAATTTGCTTAATATTGGCTGTTCCTACTCTCTTTTCTGACAGCACTTGCCCCAGAGGTGACATAGGTACTGCCTGACCACCTGTACTTACAGAGTTGCACATCATTTTACCCAGAGCCACGTAAGACATTCGGAAGTCTGTCACATGTCTGCCACTCAATTTCCTCTGTAACTAACCATAAGCGCAATGAGGGTTGGATGTTTCTTAAGGGATGGGGAGCTGGAAGCATGAACTGTAAGCCAGCCAATAGGGCAGAGAACTCACTGGCCAGCCCTGTCCCACAGCATCCAAGCAAGTGAGTAAGGTGGGTGCAAAGGTGGTAGCCAGGGCCAGCCAAGGGTCCAGGTCACCAGGCAGGTTTGTGGGGGTGAAATAGGTCTAAGGCCAGGCCAGGAAGACAATCTGCAGCTGGATGGCTTTCACCTCCGCAAACTGACTCGATTCACCCTCTCCTTCAGCAGTTTATGCAACTTGTCGTCCAGGACTCCATACAGCTGCCTTCCATCTCCGATGCTTTCCCACAATATGACAGGACCCATCAGTAAACAAGGCATACTGCTTTTCACTTTCTGACAGTTTATTATACGGTGGGACCTCTTCAGCACGCATCACCTCCTCCTCTGGTGACATTCCAAAAACTTTGCCCTCTGGCCAGTCCATGATGACTTCTAGAATGCCTGGACGACTGGGATTTCCTATTCGAGTTCGTTGTGTAATGAGTGCAGCCCATTTACTCCATGTAGCATCGGTTGCATGATGTGTAGAGGAGACCCTGCCTTTGAACATCCAGCCCAGCACGGGCAACCGGGCTGCCAGGAGGAGCTGTGCTTCAGTGCCAATCACTGCCAAAGCAGCTCGAATCCCTTCATAGGCTGCCAGTATCTCTTTCTCAGTTGGGGTATAGCTGGCCTCAGATCCTTTGTATTCCTGACTCCACAAGCCAAGGGGTTGACCTCGAGTCCCCCCTGGAGCTTTCTGCCAGAGGCTCCAGGTAGGACCGTTCTCCCCAGCTGGGTGTACAGTACATTTTTTACATCTGGCCCGGTCTGAACAGGTCCAAGGGCTACTGCATGAACTATCTCGCATTTGATTTGCTCAAAGGCTTGCTGTTGCTCAGGGCCCATTTAAAATCATTCTTCTTCTGGGTCACATGATAGAGAGGGCTTACAATCGAACTGTAATTTGGGGTGTGCATTCTCCAGAACCCCACAGCACCCAGGAAAGGTTGTGTTTCTTTCTTATTAGTTGGTGGAGACATTGCTGTTATCTTGTTGATCACATCTGTGGGGATCTGTCTATGTCCATCTTGCCATTTTATTCCCCAGAATTGAATCTCCTGTGCAGGTCCCTTGACCTTTCTCCGTTTTATGGCAAAACCAGCTCTCAGCAGGATTTGGATTAGTTTCCTCCCTTTCTCAAAGACTTCTTCTGCTGTATCACCCCACACGCTAATGTCATCAATGTATTGCAGGTGTTCTGGAGCTTGCCCCTGTTCCAGTGCAGTCTGGATCAGTCCATGGCAGATGGTAGGGCTGCGTTTCCACCCCTGGGGCAGTCGGTTCCAAGTGTACTGGACACCCCTCCAGGTAAAACCAAATTGTGGCCTGCACTCCTGCCAAAGGAATGGAGAAAAATGCATTGGCAATATCAATCGTGGCATACCACGTGGCTGCCTTTGACTCTAGTTCACACTGAAGTTCTAGCATGTCCGGTATGGCAGCACTCAATGGTGGTGTGACTTCATTCAGGCCACGATAGTCTACTGTTAGTCTCCTCTCTCCATTAGACTTTTGCACTGGCCATATGGGGCTATTGAAGGGTGAGCAGGTCCTGCTGATCACCCCCTGACTCTCCAGTCTGCAGATCAGCTGATGGATGGGAATCAGGGAGTCTCGGTTGGTGCGATATTGCCGCCGGTGCACTGCTGTGGTCGCAATTGGCACTTGTTCTTTGACCTTCAGCAACCCCACAACAGAAGGATCCTCTGAGAGACCAGGCAAGGTGGACAGCTGCTCAATTTCCTCAGTCTCCAGAGCAGCAATACCAAAAGCCCATCAGTACCCTTTTGGGTCTTTGAAGTACCCTCTCCTGAGGTAGTCTATGCTGAGGATGCATGGAGCCTCTGGACCAGCCACAATGGGGTGCTTTTGACATTTCCTCCCAGTCAGGCTGTCAGCCTCCAGTACAGTCAACTCTTGGGATTGATGCACAGATAGACTCCACAACTCGTTAAAATTGTAAAGTAGGTATGCTTTTAATTCAGCGCTGAGGCATATGGGGGATAACTCCTCCAAAAGCACGTGGACCTCAGTGTTGTTTCCCCTTTACATTTATCCTCTTATACATATGCATGAGGTTGCACAACACGCCTATACATATTCATGTCCTATTCCCGCTTTGTAGTATAATGAGCTAAGAAGTCCTATGTGCATGTGCAGTGCCTCCTAGTGGTCGTGAGCAAGGGTCTCGAGATGGACTAAATGAGTCTTCCTCCAGCCTGAACTATTCACCTCTGGTTGCCAGGCATGATCCCTGGAGGCTTGGTCTTTGTCCAAAGCACAGAGCCAATTTCAGCCGGCCTAGGCATCCAAAGGACAGGAATCAAGTCACGGTCCCTACTTCTTAACAATAGCTATGTCCTTATATCTAGTTCTAGCATACATGGAGGTGTCCAAAGGACGGGAGTCAAGACATGGCCCCTACTTCTTGACAATAACTATGTCCTTATATGTTGTCCTAGCATAATCATGAGTGAGCAATGATATTGTTAAGCAAGTGTCCTGATCTATCCCCTTGTACATTGCAAATACAATAAGCATGAGCAAGCAGTAACATTGTTAAATAAGTGGTTTGACCTATCCCATTATACATTACAAATACCAAGTACAATAAGCATGAGCAAACAGTAACATTGTTAAGCAAGTGGCTCAACCCTAACCCCCCTGTATATTTGTTAAACCTTTGCATCAGGATTCTCCTGTCACTCCAGAAATACAGATGGGTTCCACCCCTTGACAGCTTGATGGCATCAGGGTACACTGTGCACCGGTATCTACTAGAGCCTTATACTTCTGTGGGACTGATGTGCCAGGCCATCTGATCCACACAGTCCAGTAAATCCGATTGTCCCCTACCTCCACCTGGCTGGAGGCAGGGCCCCTCTAATAGTCATCACAACATTGGACACTTAAGTCGTGTTGAAAGGGATTATTCTTCGTTATCACAGGAGTTGGAGTAAAATCAGCTCTTCCACTCCATCTGGGAACCTGATCACCAGAGACTGAAGCTGCAGCTCTCATGGGATGATCAGCCTTGACCCTTGTTCCCCTCTTCAATTCACGCACCCATTCCTCCAAAGCTGAAGTAGGTTTTCCATCCCACTTCGTCACATCTTCTCCGTGATCCTCCAGGTAAAACCATAGGGTGTCCCATGGCGTATACCTTCTGTATCTTCTCTCTTGAACAATAGGTCACCTTTTCTTAATAGCTGAGACGTGCTGGTGCACGTGAAGAGCTGGATAGATCAGATAGATCGTCCCTCAATTGTTTGAGATCCTGGGACGGTTTTTCCACAGCTGAGATGATGGAAGGGGTGAGATTGTCTTCAAACTCTCAGAGTTTATGAATCATTTCATCCACTGTTAGTGGTACTATGTCATTCCAGGTTACTGTTGCCAATGAATGGGCATATGATGAATGTGCATTCTGTGTAAATTTTCGCCACATGTACCTTCGACTTCATATAGGTCTATGGGTATATCCCCGTTATTTGGCCTGATGTGATAGATCATCTCTACGATGGCCGATTCCCTCAGAGACTGGATGCCTTTGTCTAAAGTAGTCCACTTGGCCGAACAACTCATAACATCGTCCTTGCATGGAAACCTTTCTTTCACAGCTGCCAAGAGCTGCCTCCAAAGACTGAGCGAGTTTTTCTCTCTTGCAAGTGCTTTGTCAATTCCCCCTTCTCTAGTAAGTGATCCCAGCTGCTTGGCTTCTGTACCTTCTAATTCATGACCATCGGCCCCATTATCCCAGCATTGGAGCAATCAGGTGATGATGTGCTCCCCTGGTTGATGGGTAAAATCTTTTTGCGTATTTCGTAGCTCAGTTGAGGTCCGAGGTCAAGAAGTCACCTCTTCTTCATCATGTGATGATGACTCCTGATCAAATGCTGGACCGGGTGGTGAGTACATTGTTTCTTTATCTTGCTTCACCCTTCTTGCCTCTTTTTTGCTTTTCCTCTTGCGTACAGGGGCAACTGATACTGGTACAAATTGGTCCTCTCGTTTAGCTGCAATGACTATCACTGTGGTTTGAGTAGTGACTGTACTTGTCACTGGGGGTGGTGTAGCTGCAGTGCTTGGAGCTGGGGTAGCTGCACTGTCTGTTGCAGTCGAAGTTTGAGCAGCTGCTGTACTTGTTGCTGGGGTAGCTGCGCTATCTGTTGCAGCCAAAGTTTGAGTAGTGACTGTACTTGTCGCTGGGGGTGGTGTAGCTGCAGTGCTTGGAGCTGGAGTAGCTGTGCTGACTGTTGCTTTGCCCTCAGAGCCAGGGACATTTTTTTCCTTTTGAAGGTGCTGGATAGTATTGAACAAGGCCCTGTAAGCACAGGCCAAGCCCCAGCACATTGCCATGATTTGTCCATCTCTGGTATGGCCAGAATGACAACACACCTCATTTAAGTGTTTTACTAATTTTTTCTGGATTTTGCACTTGTTTGTGGTGAAATTCCAAAGTACTGGAGGGGCCCACTGACCTAGATACTTGCCCATACTATCCCACACACCCTGCTACTCATGCCTGTCCAGCCTCAGGGAAAATCTCTTGGTCCCCCTATATCATCATTTAACCCTGGACAAGACCCAAACCTGACTCTGCTTAACTCTTGAAATCTGATTAAATGGTCATGGGCAAAACACACTCTATGCGTGCCAACATGGTGATCCCCATCACAATCAGCAAACAGGTCTCAACAGTATTTAAAGGCCATTCAAAAACTTCAAAACTCCCAAATGATGCTCTCAAATGGTCTGTGAGGGGGGCTGGGACAGTAAAAGCATGTCTCCTTCACAGGTTGACCACCTGAGAAGGAGAAAAAAGATGTGTAATTGCTAAGCACTTCTATTATATACCTCCCAAAGTATAAAGGTGGTGACCACACAGGGAACATAAGCCGGATCAGTTTCATGATCAATTATTCTATTGTATTACAAGTCATTACCATAAAATACAATGAGACAACCTTAGCCCAAGCCCCACACTTAATAAACACTAACACAGCAAATACCGGCTGTTAAGTAAGGTATGATACGCTGAAACTGTGAGATCAAGAGAAACAACTTTGAGA